GGCAGCCGGTGCCCCACGGCACGACGGTCCGTGCCGGCTTGGCCGCGGTAGTCGATGCGCTGACCGCCGATCCAGCTCTGGAACCGGGCGCGGCGACGCCGGTTCGAGCGCCCAGCGTCGACGTGGTGCGCACACTGCTGCCGCCGTTGCTGGTCGGCGCCTTGCCGGCGGACACCTTTGCCGATGCCGTGCTCTTGGTCGAGCTGCCGCCACCGCTGAGCGTCCTCTGGCGCAGGTCCTTGCCGGAATCGGTGCTCGAGAGCGAAAAGATGCCTCCGGGCCTCGGCGTGGCCCTCAGGAAGGCGTGCTTGGCGGGCGAGACACTGCTGCTCGTCGCTGCCGAACCGCCTGCCATACCGGCCTTGGCGATGAGCCTCGCCTTGGCCTGCGGAGACGCGCCGGCCGTTCTGGCGCCTGCGCCGGCGCCGGAAACGCTGGGTGTCAATGGCTTGTCTAGCGAGGACGAAGGGCGAGAGGTCCTCGCACCTGCACTCGGCACCGCCAGGGTCGTCGCGCTCGGCTTGGCAGAGGCGCGTAGCGATGCGGCGCTTTTCGTGGTGCGGACGGCCTTGCCGACGGACGCTGCGGTGAGGAGCTCGGCGCTGTTCTTGGCGCTGAGCGTGCCGGACTTGGTCGATGTTGCTCGAGCCGGTCCGCTCGCTGCCTGTGCTGCGCCGTCAGCCTCCGGAGACCCTTCTCGCGTGCTCGAGGCTCCGGCGTGCTGCTCATCGGGTCCTGTTTGTGCTTTGACGCCATTCGACCTGTCGGCGGCAGCCTGGCCGTTCGGAACGCCCACCTTGGGCGCAGCTTTCGGAACCACCCGAGAAGGCGCGGCCGTCGACGATCGAGCGGAGCTGAGCGAGCCGGCAGACGCCGTCGGGCGGACGCCAGCCGCCGAGCTGACGCTCGACGTTGTTCGAACCGATGCGGTGCGCGCGCGGCCGTTGCCGGCATGCGAGCTGGTGGTGCTGGTGCCGCTAGCGCCGCTAGCCGTGCGGGACCTGCTCCCCACAGCTCCGGCGGTGGCAGGTGCGGGTCTCGTTGGAGGGGCGGCGGCGCCAGACCTGCCCGAGTTTGACGCAGCGTCCCCTCTGGCACCTGTCGCGGGCATCTGCGCCGAGTTCGATCGAGACGGCACCGACTCGTTGGCGGACCGGTGGCCGTTGACGACCGACGTCCGCGCTGCGTTGCGGTTG